GCCAAGGATAGGGAGTGGGAAGCTCCCGAGGACGTTGAGCAGTGGGGAGATTTGGACCAGGGCCGGGGTGACATAGACCTTGATGATCGTGATGTGGGTCGATATGGCGACGATGAGGACTATGTAGACGGAGTCAAGCTAGACGAGGACGGTTAGGGCCATCTTCGTTGGGTTGAGAGACAGGAGCACGTCCTCTTGGGACAGGAGCCAAAGACCGATGCGGATGACGGTATGACAAACGCAGGCGAGGGGCATTGGCCTAGGGTTGGTGTATGCTTTCGGGCCCGACAAGCCTATGGACCAGAGATGAAGGATGAGTCTAGTGTGTGGTGGGCCTACCTTTTGATCAAAGAGTCTAGGGCATATAAGGCCAAGCCGCTACGAGGGCCTATGGAGTCCGCCCTAGGGTACGATGTACCGATACCTACACGCCTAGAGCACGAGAGCACGATACCGATAAAGCATAACGGAATTTGGATAGCTCCTAAAGTTTACCTCTGGATTACGTACGTGGAGAGTCGAGACGCGGAGGGGCTTCGCCAGATGGAGCTTATAGGTAACCTCATCTTGTTGGATATACTTGATCGGGATATTGGGCTGACCTTAGTCGGTATTAGCAGGAGATTATGGCAGTTAGAGTCCTTAGCGCGAGTTGTATTGGACCATAGGCGAACTCGAGAGGTGAGTGGACGATCGACGTCGATGGTTGTGATAGGACCTCCCTCCAAGAGACTTTATCCAATAGGAAACAGGAGGTGGGTCTTAGCTGACTTTGTGATAGGTAGAGTTTACGGAGGGGTAGGCCATTTATCGAGCGTCGCTGAGTGGACCTTCAGAGCTCTCGGGAGAGGACTTGAGATTGAGTTTCGAGACGCCTACTTTTCCCAATGTGTGTGATGGGGGTCATTTGAGGAGGACGTCGTGGGAGATATCATCAACGCCACTTGCTGGTACGACTCCATCACGCCTAGCAACTTCGTGGAATACTGCAAGAGGCAGATAGAAGCCACGTATACGGGGCTAGACTCTCTCGGTCGTCTGTTTGAAGGAGAATCTGATAGTTCCCGAAAATAGGAGTACGGAGCTTGTTTGAGGAGAGGGACGCCTAATTAATGGAAGGGGACGCCCGGGCGCATATCACCGGACATGACTGTGCACAGACAGCTAGTGAGTGAGTGGATGGCGGTAACGGTCCTACTTAGGGTCACAACTGAGGCGAACCTTACTGAAGCAGAGTGCGAGAGTCTAACGAGGGTGATCGTAGAGGAGCAGAGGCCCGAGGTGGTTGGAGCAGTCACGTTTCATAAGAAGATATCATTCGAGGTGATGGTATGGAGTAAAGGGTTTATGTGAGACGAACTGTTCCATGACGAAACATTAGCAAAAGCGAGAGCGAGGATCAGAGCGGAAAGGAGCAGGTAGGGGAAGATGCGTGACTAGGATGGAAGATGAACGGGTAAAGAGAGTAAAATAACAGATCATAGAACCCGTGCTAAAGCGAGTTAAAGAGTTGGCACAAAGCGTTCAAGCATACAAAATCTGTATAAACGAGAGCAGGCTGCGCATGATAGAGGAAGGGACAAAGGAACTGGAGAGTGTTTTTAAAGAAGATAGGGAATTTATCAAAAGATGGAGGCTTGAATTCCTTGAGAGGGTCAAAGAAAGGGACCAATAGGAGTCAAGTCGAGAAGGGTCAACAAGGTCAATAGAAAAAAAGAAGAGAAAGACGCTGAGGAGACAACGCCATGATGAGACGTGATGAGCACTTGTTAGTTTAGCAATGATAGATACTCTTTTAACGTAGTCGGAAAGTCGGAAGGATCGGTGGTGTACGTGCTAATACAGGTGGAGCATCCAGTGAGACTAGGACTCTAGGAGTGACTGAGGAGGCAAAGTGTACTAGGAGAGCGCAAAGGGATGCTCGAGGGACGACACTCTGGGTTGGAGTGGAGATGGACGTTGTCGGCGCGAATACCCTTACAAGGGTATCCGCCCTGGTTTTTGCAAGTGACGGAAAATTAGATTTGGTTTAAAGTTTAAGTATTCCGCATGGGGCGCGGTTGCGCCTGTGGCTTATGTTGGCCGGGTGGTTGACTAGGATGAAGAGTGTGTGGGCGCGCAGGACTTGAGACGTGCGTGATCTTTTTTTTTATTATTGATGATTGACGAGTCGGCGTGATCGCCGACCATAATTTTTTTAATTGTTTCTTATTAAACTAGGGTTAAAAAGGTTTTGTTTTTTGATTGGTGCGTTTACCTGCGACTAGCGCATGCATACAGAAAACGATGTCGACGGCGGCATGATTCGGTATAGTTGCACGGTGGGCGCAGAGGTTGGCGACAGATAGTTCGGTCGATAGGCCGATGTGCGGGGTTAAAGTGTTTCGGTAGATTGGCGCGTCGCGCGGTGTCCGTGTTTAGGCGCCCGTCAGAGCAAAATCCAGCCTTGGGTCTAGCCTTATTGATTACAGCGTCGGACTTTCATCAGGGGGGATTCAGGGATCGAGGTCGAGCGGCGATGATGCGCATATCAGAGTAGCGTGATTGGACCGAAGGGCTGACGGCCCGGCGGGACTATCCCCCTTGGTTTTGCTAGCGGCGTAGTCAGGGCGGCATTAGTGGCCCCTTTTTGCTCGTCGTTATATTCTGACGAATAGAAGTTCTAAATATTTTTATTTCTAAGTTATTATTAATTTACTCCGGTGTTTCTTGACTCAGACGAGACGCCGAGTGCGCGTCTCTTTTTCGTTGACCGGTGGATTCCTGTAAGGTTGGGATGCTGGTAGGAGTCATCTGCACCGTCGTCTTGAAGCGCGGACCGGGGAGTTCAACGTGCATGCGAGCCGAGGGGTGGTTAGCCCACGAAGCGGAACAAGCCTGAGTGGCGGGGGCTGTCGCGGGTGTACCGTCCGCCAATCATGATCTGTGTGGAAGGTTGGAGTGTGTGCATGCCTGTTGGGACCACAAAAGATAGCGGACTGTATTCGGGGCGCTGTGGGAAGGCCGCTGCAGCAGCCCACTTGTGGAAGTCTTCTCCACTTCGGTCTTCAAAGTTCTCTTTGAATGTTCGAGAGCCGCGCCAGACCCAGTTCGCCAGGGCCCATGCTAGGCTTTTGCGGCAAGCCGCGCTGTGACGGGTTGTCCGCGTGGGAGCTGGCTGTTGGGGGCCCTAAAGGTGGTGGGCCGATCCTGGGGATAGGCGGATGGACAGGCCAGTGGACTAGACGGTGGCGGCCAGTTGCACGGAACCCACCTCCCTCGGGCAAAAATTGGTAGACCCGGCAGTAGGCCGTGTTTTCCTGATCGCCGGAGTACCGGGCTGGCCCAAGGCAGCCGGACGTGGGCCATGCGCCTCAGTGCCTTGCTGTAGCGGACCCACCAGGTGTGGTGCTCCGCTAGTGACAGAGATGGAGATGGAGGAAGAAGGAGGGAGCAAGGTGCACAGCGTAGCTCCCCATGCAAGACTCCAACGCACGTACTCCAAAATGTGTCAGTGAAGAATGAGGCTGAAAACAGACAACTGCTGGGGTATACCCCAGCGGACTGACGGGACTGGACTGGACTGGCTGGTACCCACAGGTATCGGCCTGGACCGGACTGGACTGGACTGCCCCCGGATAGAACACAGGCCTGTGAGAAAAGGCCAAGGGGCTGGTCTCACAGGCCACCCAACCAGAGGTCCGCTACACGATCCTCGGCCTGTGATGGATCGCCTAATTACAAACACGCTTCCGTCAAGAAGCGGAACTCTACCAAAGAAAAAGAAAAACCCGAGTAGTCTAGGATGCGGAGCAAGCTCCATGCTGAGTCCATGGGATGCAACCTAGGCTAGAAAATGTCACAAAACAGCAATGTCATAGCTAACAGCCTAAGTAAAAGCAGAAGCAACTAACTAGCATACATGTCCTAGGAAAGCAAAGCAACTAACTAGCATACATGTCCTAGGAAAGCAGGAAGTAGTGACAACTAGATCCTAGAATGTTGGAGGCACTAGCCTCAGTCTGGTAACACCTGACTAGTGTATAAGTCCTAAGAACAACAAAAGCAGAACAACTAAATCCTAGAAATGCCAGAGGCAGTAGCCTCAGTCTGAGAGCAACAAGCAACAACAAGTCGACCATATGTCACAGGAGGGGTGTATCGCAAACCAAAGGGTGGGATGGTCTCTGAGGGTGGCGAATGCAACCTAGGGGTTGAAAACTCCTAAGGGCATCCACACATAGATAACAGGGAGACACATGTCATCAGGCTCAATGAGAGTAGGGAACAAGGAGCGAACAAAACCAATGACCCTAACAGATAGACCATCAAGCTCGCCTAAGGGGTGACCGCTATGGAGGGTCGACCATGCAAGGGAACAAGGGAGCCTGGTATACTGGGCGCACCTAGATGAAGCATGCGGGGCTGCCTAACTAGGGCGTGAGGGCCGGCAGAGGGTAGGAAGGTGATGGGTAAGGGAATCATGCAGATGACTCCTAAGGTGGGGAAGTCGGAGCTAGATCCGTAAGATGGGAAGCCAGGGCAACGCTACGGTCCCGATGCCTATGCGTATACCAAGGGAGAACCCAACTCAGAGGAACCCGGCTAAAGGGAGACCATCATGCGACACAAGCAGGGTACTGTACAGGGTAAAGTGGTAAGAGAGTGGCGACGTCTGAAGTAGGCAGAGCTGATCGTGACGAAGTCCATGAAGCTGCCAATGACGTCCACGATGAGAAGTCCGGAATGCCGTCGAGGAAGAGCCGTAACGTCGACGAGCTGAAGTAGCAAAACTGGAGTGGATGGAGTACTGAGAAGTCAAGGACGTGAGAAGGTAAGTCAGAGTCAATCGTCGTATCGAGCAGGACGAGGACGAGTCCGCTGTGGACGCTCAGAAGCATCCGGCTGCTGCTAAAGGTCTGCCTCAGATGGAGCAGGCTCGACTTCAGCGGTCTCCTCAGCCGGGGGAGAAGGAGGAGGGTCAGTGGGCTGAGGAGGAGCAGTGAACCCAGCACGACGAGCATGGTCCTAGGCACGCACCAACATGCGAGCGTGCTACAAGTGCTTGAGGGGCTCCCAGGTAGCCCCCTCATCAGGGTAACCCTTCCAACGTACGAGATACTCGACGTGGGGAGGGTTGTCGTCGGTGACTCGGCGACCAAAGATGTTTGAAACGAGGAACTCCTCGTGGCCATCCACCATGATGGGTGGAGGGCGCTCGTATGGTCGTCCAGCGAAACGCTCAGACAGTCTACGGTAAGGATGCAGTAACGAGACGTGGTAGACATCGTGCACATGAGCCTGGCGTAGGTAGTCGGGCAGCTTCACACGGAAGCTGACCGGGCTAGATGGCGTATCAGAACCGACGACCTGGAGGATGCGGCATGGGCCAAAGAAGCGACGCCGAAACTTGCGAAGCGTGTCCGCTTCGACCTGTAAGTGGCGGGCGTCGATAAGCACATCATCACCGACTTTGAATGGGTGGTCTATCCTCGATCGGTTCGCACGTGCTGCCATGCGAGTCTGGGAAGCGGCTATGTGCTCATGTGCGGTCTTCATGATCGATGTCATGTGTGCAACCCAATCATCCAGTGCGGGACAGTTCGTGTCGGGGTGCATTTGTGACGGTCGAAGGAAGTCCGCGGGAACACGAGGGTGATAGCCGAGGTCGCAATAGTAAGGCGACATCCCCGTGGCTGGCGAGATGGCGTGGTTGTAGGCTATCTCCGCGTGGGCAAGATGGAGGTCCCACTGCTGGTCGTCACGAACAATCTTTCGGAGAATATCTCCGAGAGTCCTATTCGTGATCTCGGTCTGACCATCAGTCTGAGGATGGTAAGATGAGGAGAAGCGGAGCTGAGTGCCGTATACCTCGTGGAGCCGTCGCCAGAATCGGCTGGTAAAGCGCGGGTCACGGTCAGATATGATGCTGAGAGGCGTGAAGCGGTCGACGACGACCAGGATAGCATCATGACCGCGGGGGGTCGGAGGTCGAAGAGGACCGATAAAGTCCATTGAGATGGACTGCCAATGACCCTCAGGGATAGGAAGAGGCTGGAGCAAACCATAAGGCAGGTGGTTCGCACTGTTCACCTCCTGACAGGTGGGACACTCTGCGACGTAGTCCTTCACAAAGTCCTTGCGCTTCGGCCAGACGTATAGGCGACTCACACGAGCCAACGTCTTGTGGAAGCCCATATGACCGGCGGCTGCCTGGTCATGGAACTCTGCTACTGCTCGGACACGTAGCTGTCCAGTGGAGGGAACGCAAATACGGGGCTCTCTGGTGCCCTGTGAACCGTGCCAGTACACGAGACCGTTGCCCCCGAGAGAGTAGTTCGGGACGGTCTTGCCACTCCGAAGGGTCGCGTGGATGTCGCGATAGTCGGGGCAGTGGCGGTACTGAGTGCGAAACTCGTCGATCGCCGAGTGGTGGACGGTGGTCACCGAGATGGAAGAGAGCTGGATTTGCTCCTGGTCGTGGTCAGGGCGCCGGGATAGGGCATCTGCGACCCGATTAGTCTCACCCTTGATGTGCTCAGTGGTGAAACTAAACTCGGATAGGTCGCGCCACCAGCGAGCCTGTCGAGGAGTGAGCTTCGGTTTTGTCAGAAAAGCCTGGACAACAGAGTTGTCCGTACGCACCGTGAACGGTGCCCCATGCAGGTAGTGACGCCAGTGCCGAGCGGCATAAACTACTGCGAGAACCTCACGTTCATCAACAGTGTAGTTTATCTCGGCGGGCAGGAGCTGACGTGAGTAGAAGGCTACCGGACAATCACCTGAGCGAGACTCGACAGTGCCGTCCTCGGCGATGGTAGGAGAATAGTCAATAGAAGGCTCGTCGATAGCTGGACGAGTAGGCGTCAGTCGGGAAGCAGTGGTAGGGGTAGGTGGTGGGAAGCGAGGGATACGATGAGAGGAATCAGGAGAGGAGGGGAAGACCTGAGAAAGCACTGCTCCTACAGGAAACTCTGACGCATCGGTGGTAAGGATAAAAGGGCGATCAAAATCGGGTAGGTGAAGAACCGGTGCACATGTCACAGCCTTCTTGAGGGCGCGGAAGGCGTCCTCGTGGAGGGGTGTCCAATCCCAGGGTGGGTTCTTCCGGAGGAGGGTGGAGGTAAGGACGTAGGAATACCTAGCGTATCCCCGGATGAAGTTACTATAGTAGCTGGTCAGGCCTAGGAAGCTGCGAAGCTTCTTGGCGGATGTGGGAGCGGGCCACTCCGCAATAGCAGTGATCTTCGCGTCGTCCATGTGGAGACCCTGGTCAGACACGTAATGTCCTAAGAAGTCGACTTTGTGCTGGGCAAAGCGGCACTTGCTGAGCTTGGCGTAGAAGTCATGTTTGTGCAAGCGGTCAAGGACGTTGCGGAGGTGTCTGAGGTGCTCCTCAAGGGTATGACTATAGACCAGGATATCGTCGCTCTAGGATGTCCCTGAAGATGTCGTTCATCGCCCTCTGGAAGGTGGCGGGTGCGTTGGTGAGGCCGAATGGCATCACCGTAAACTCGTAGTGGCCGAAGCGCGATCGGAATGCGGTCTTCGGCTGGTCGGCTGCAGCGACGCGGATCTGATGGTAACCGCTACGAAGAACAATCTTCGTAAAGAAGCGGTTGCCTGCTAGGCGGTCGAACAGTTCATCGGAACGAGGCATGGGGTAGCTGTTCTTAACCGTGTAGCGGTTGAGACTGCGGTAGTCGATGCAGAGACGAAGAGTTCCATCCGCTTTGCGAGCAAAGAGGACGGGTGCACCCCACGGGGAGTTG